TCTAAACAATTTCAGATAACAATACTTACATTTAACAGACACAAACTACAACAACAACATATTTGGTATTCGTTATGTTTGGTATACGTTACGCTCTACAGGAACTCATTTGGTTCGGTGAGCGGGAGGTGGCCCTCGGGTGATCAGTCCTCGGACCTGGCTCATATTCCGCCATCCAATGTTTATTCGGGATTCCTCAATTTGGGATAGGAGGGGTAGCTGTTTTATAGAGAGAGCTTTTGCTCACTTTTTGTGATAGGCTAGCAGACCCTGTGAAGTGACAGGAGTAAGGGGGTGAGATGGTTTCCTGTTTTTCCTTTTCTGCCTTATCGGCCATGGCACAGTCAGCACAACCAGCACGAACTTTACATGAACTTTTTAGGTCTGGTTTTGGTTCCTGTTCGTCGCTGATCTTTAAGTTACATAGTGTAAGGGTTTTCATCAAGGGGAAGTTGACCTTTTGCTTGGATGGCAATACGCGCCGCGAGAAGCCTGACCAGCAAAGAGCCTGCTTCCACAATGGGGAACAGCAAGGATTTTTTGTTGAGGAAAAAAAAAGTTGGCAGGGGGAAGGGCCAGGGGAAATATAATTGAGAATAAAAAGGTCGTGGGAAAGTTATTGAGGGGGAAAAAAAGTTCGCCCACTTATTTATGGGCAGCCATTTTGAATTCTGTTCTCCTTGGCAAACCTCCGACTGCCTCACGGCACACCGGTGTGCCATGGAACACAGTTTAAGAAACACTGATCTACGCACTTATTACATCATGAATATTTTTATTTCTAATCCTTTTGCATCTCTTTGTGCCCAACAGTGAAATGACTCCTCAATTTAAAGATGTTCTGAAACGTGTACTTCTTGTGGATGAACACTGCAGGTGAGAGGGGTGGGTGAAGCCTCAATGACAGTGTAAAATATTTTGATTCCTTCTAAAATTCCTACCACACAAAAGAAATTCTAAACACACTTGAAAATTATTTCTTGTTCGAGTGATTGCTCATGTCCATTCGAATAAGGTGTGTGTGCCACATGCACGGTTTCTTCCGGATTCTCTAGCGGTACCCATAGCGCCGGCAGGTCACCCTCTGGATTCGCACTGCTATAGCGGAGCATAAGTATCCTTGCGCTCCCCCACCTCAGTTACTTCTTACCGCCCATAACGGTTGTAGGAGCGTTGCTATCTTAGTCTGTTGATTGTTATTACCCATTCTATAATTAATTTTATTGCCTGTAAATAGTTTAAGTGTTAGGTAGTTAGTGTTAATAGTCGCCCTTTGTTCTTCCCTCCCCTACAGGGGTGAGGAATGACAGGGCTGCAAGGCTTCAAGACTTGTGTGGACTGCGCAAAGTTTATGCCTAAAGGGGACCCCCATGATAGCTGTTTAAAGTGGCTGGGACCAGGGCCGGACTGAGGGGTGGGCGAGCCGGGTAGCTGCCCAGGGCGCCAACTGATGGGGGGGGCCTGATGGCAGCTGTAAGGGGCTCACGGCACCCCTTCCAGCTGCCATCAGGAGCTGCCACCCCCGCTTT